TAAAAAAAAAAAAAAAAGGAGATTAGAGAGAGAGAGAGGCCGGGACAAGTTCACATGAGGCCTTATATTCCAGATGAAGAGTTTAGGTTTTCTCCTGGCTATATTAGGCAACTATTGAAATGTCCTTTTGGCAAGTGGAATAGAGGTTGTATGGAAGGGGAAGGGGACTCAGAAGCAGGCAGGCAAAGGCATTAGATTTTGGTAATAGCCCTGGTAAGGGAAGATGACAGACTGAACTAGGACATTGGGGAGAAGGATGAATGGAAGAGACACATTTGAGAAACAGCATTTGCTGATTGGGAAGAGTGTTTGATGATGCACAAGTTTCTGGCTTGGATACTTGGTTTTTGTTTTTTTTTTTCTTCTCATGGCACCAACCAAAACCAGTAATTCTACAAAACAATAAAATAAAATAAGTAAAATCAAATCATAATACTTCTTATATAGTAGCTGAATTCACAGTGCATTACAGTGATCATTTTTATGTTTAATCACAAAATAAAACATATAATGATAGTTTAAAACTTCTAGTAAATTGGAGACTCCCTAGGTTGACTCCATTTCACTCATTCCAATTTCAGCACTGGCCAACTTTCATATCTGCCATCATTGTCCCTGAAACATTGTATACATTTCAGTCATTTATTCCCACAGTGTATATGTTGCCGTCGTGTGCAATTGTGATGTTTGTTTCCTCCATTATAATCCATTGGAAGCAAGCCTTGTACCTTCTACTTCCAACACAGCTAAAAATATCACTTGGGATCTAACTGATGTCTGTAGGTATGGCCTCCCTCTGTGTGAGTTCTCTTGGGGGGCAGAGTAATGGATGTGACTACCTGGGAGTTTGTGTACATGTAGTATAGTGAACATAGGACCGTGGACGCTTCTCTGGGCTGGAACCACTTTCTACAAGAGACTGAGCCAGGCCAGCCAATCAACTTCTACATCACTAAAGGCTGAGACTAGTAATCACTCATTCCAACAAATTTGTTCTGTCTTTTGCTTCTTGAGCTTCTTGTGTTCATGACAGCTGACACATTCTCACTACCTGCTGTGAGGAGGGACTTAGACGTTTCTGTGTTTGCTCATTCAGTTAACACGCGCCAAGGGCCTGCCAGGTGCGGACTGGGAAGCACTCCGAATGGCGCTGTCTCTGAGGGGCTTCGGAGAGTGGTGCCCGCCCTGTCCTCACCTCCTCCGCACCAGTCTCATTCATAACTTTGCGAAGGCTCGTCTCAGCCCAGGGAGTTCTCATTCAGCAGCACCGTCTGTCTGGACTACACAGGCCCTCGTGTCTGGGCCACAGGACTCATTCGGGATGAGGAACAGCCTCCCAGGCAGGACAGGCCGGGAGTGGTTCACACATTTTTGACAGGAAAGGCATCTGTTCATTTCTGCTTGACTGAGGGAAAGAAATTGAGGGGTTTTGAATTTTGTCTTTTTATTCCCTAGACTCCTTTTGGTAATACCTCTCTCGCTTGAGGCAATACCCCTGCCCCTCCCACCCCCCACCCCCACCCCGGGCCTCCTCTTTCCACCTCCATGCAGATACCTAGTGCCTTCTTGATGTCCTCAGGCTTCTTCCCCCACGCTCATCCCACCCCTCCCTCCCTCGCTACCTCCCTCCCTCCCTTCCTTCTTCCCTTCCTTTCCTTCCTTCCTTCCTTTCCTTCCTCCCTCCCTCCCTCCCTCCCTCCCTTCCTTTCCTTCCTTTCCTTCCTTCCTTCTTCCCTCCCTCCCTCCCTCCCTCCTTCCTTCTTCCCTTCCTTTCCTTCCTTCCTTCTTCCCTCCCTCCCTCCCTTCCTTTCCTTCCCTTCCTTCCTTCCTTCCTCCCTCCCTTCCTCCCTCCCTCCCTCCTTTATAATATGTACATTTTTGGGGGGGTCAGGAAGTTGATAGCAATAGGGAGGGGATGCCCATCAGGGTCATGGAAAGTCAGAAGTAAGCATCTCTGGGGAGTGTGCAAGCATAAGATGTTAAGAGAATAAAGCTGGATTACCAGTTGGATTCCAGGATTTCATCAGGGTGCAAGCAGAGAGATAAACATGTAAGAAAAACGCTGGGAGGAAAAATAACAGAATCAGTCATTGTTCTTACTGTGTGTTGGTGAAGCGTAAGTTTCCTTTCCTATATTACCAAATTTTCCACAATAAACATTGGTTACTCTATAATAAGGAAAATAAATGCTTAAGAAGACAAGAAAAAAAAAAACGAGAGGTATTTTCTTCCCGAGCATTGCTCGTTGCTTTGAGGGCCCCGCAGCCTTCTCAGGGAGAAGAGGTGCCCATGTCTCTGTCGGTGACCTTCTTCTGACCTGCACCTTCTCTCCTGCCATTTCTCTCTGTGCCACTGCTGCGCCAGGGCTCTCGCTGTGCCCAGGGCTCTCGCTGCGCCCCTTGCCCTTCGCGCTGGGGACCTAGCCTCCGAGCCGGCAGCCCTCATCCACTGACCCTGACACACGTGGACAGTGTCGAAGTCAGAGCAGCACCAGTGAACCGGGGCTAGAGAATACATTTAGTTTCGCTACCATACTACAGAGACATGCCTTTAGTTACTACGTTTTTTATTTATTTATGTAAAGGTTTTATTGAATTTGTTGGTTAATACAATCTCGCAGGTTTCAGCTGCTCAGTTCTGTAATACGTCATCTGCATATGGCACAGTGTGTCCGCCACCCCAGGTCGGGTTTCCGTCCCTCAGCATTTACCCCCCTTTACCTTCCTCGGCCTCCCCCTCCCCTTTCCCTCTGGTGAGCGCACGCTGTTGTCTGTCTATGAGGGTTTTCTGTTCGTTTTCTGGTTTGTTTGTTGAATCCCCTCATCATATTTCACCCAGCCCCCCAAGCCCCTCCCCTCTGACATGTCTTTTGTTAATTAGTCATTTCTTCACCTAGACATCAGTATGTCCTGTGTGTGCTGGCCAGAAGTTTCCAACAAAGTCTCTTTGGTTAGAAAGCACCTTTGTTCATTCTCTGGTCATGACACACAAAACGAGCTTTTCACTGAAGACTCCCCGGCATGGAGATTTGGGCTGACCGGAGGGATGGCAGGGAGAACGTCTGAGCTTTCGGTGACATAAAATCTTTTCTAAGTTAAAATTTTATTTTAAAAAATTCTGAGCGCATCCCTGAAATTGCCTTTCATACCAGATTCAGCCAGCAATAGTACATAAAAATCAATAAAAATAATCAAAAAAAAAAAATTCTTCTTCCAGAGGTTTTCTGAAATCATTGACTTGACTCCATCCTAGAAAAGTCGTTTTATTTCTAGTAAAGTAGTTTTGAATCAAGGTCCCCGATATGATCTGAATTTTTTAGTTTTACCAGCTGTGCTGCTTATCAAAGCACCTTTTCTTTTCTTTCTTTTTTTTTTCCCCCTAATCCTCACCTGAGGATATTTTTCCATTTATCTTCAGATAGAGCAGAAGGGAGGGAGGGAGGAAGAGAGAAACATCGATGTGAGTGAGACATATCGACTGGTTACCACCCACACACAAACTTGACCAGGGCCAGAGATGAACCGCAACTGAGGTACATGCCCTTGACCGGAATCAAACCCGGGACTCATTGGTCCGAGGGCCGACTCTCTACTGCTGAGCCAAACCAGCCATGGTCAGAGCACCTTTTCTTTATAGGTAGAGCCTTTGATAATATTATGACATTTTGATAATATCCGTTACTGCTACCTTTCAAGAAAGCGTCTTAGTGTAGATGAAGAACAGTTAAAATCAATTAAAATACTGAATTACATATAAAATTTACTATATCATTAAGTATTGGGTTAAATAATTAACTGGGTTACATCTTTTTTAACAACAGAGTTTCACATTTTTAAGCTACCATTAAAGAGAAAGATGTGTGCATTTTCTATATTATGGAATTCTGTCAAGATGAGATGGTGTTTCATATTTTTAAAAAGAGAGAAATCTTTGAAAAAACAAGAACACTATTTAGAGCCCCTAAAGTGAATTTTAAAGCAATTAACTTTAATGTTTGTAAGATATTAAAATAACAGCTTATTTCTTAGCTAAAATTAATTGAAAACGATGTCTAGCGCACAGGGTGCTCAGCAATTATATTCATGTTTTCATATTAATTTTCCAAAGCTGCTTCTTCGTTTACAAATGATAGCCAGAAACAGTTCATTATGATTCCAAATTATTTTTTTTCTTAGGTTTATAAGCAGTATTTTGTTTTTAAAAATTCTTAGTTTCTGTCCGGTCTTTATTACAATTTGTTACAGTGTTTGAGAAACTGGTGAAAGCTATAGTTCCTCTTTGCAGAAAAACATGCTTGCAAACATAGGCCCAATTTTTCCTATGCTTACAGAGAATTTACTGCTGGCCCGATAACCTTTTGGACCCATTTACCCATAAACCTGAGGTTAAGAACCCCATTTAAAAGTCAAGTCAAGCCTTGGCTGGTTTGGCCCAGCAGTTAGAGCTTCAGGGTGCTCAGCAATTACATTCATGTGTTTTCATATTAATTTTCCAAAGCTGCTTCTTAGTTTATAAATGATAGCCAGAAACAGTTCATTTTGATTCCAAAATTTTTTTTTCTTAGGTTTATAAGCAGTATTTTATTTAAAACAATTCTTAGTTTTTGTCCTTAACCATTTTCTTTGTTACAATTTGTTACAGTGTTTGAGAACCTGGTGAAAACTATAGTTCCTCTTTGCAGGAAAAGATACTTGCAAACAGGCACAATTTTTCCTGTGCTTATAGAGAACTGCTTGCCTGATATTCATTTTTTTTTCCGTGACTATTTGTTACAATGTTTGAGAACCTGGTGAAAGCTATAGCTCCTCTTTGCAGAAAAAGATACTTGCAAACATGGGCACAGTTTTTCCTGTGCTTGTAGAGAATTTACTGCTGGCCTGATATCCTTTTGGACCCATTTACCCATTAACCAGAGGTTAAGAACCCCTATTTAAAGGTCAAATCAAGCCTTGGCTGGTTTGGCCCAGCAGTTAGAGCTTCAGCCTGCAGACCAAAGGGTCATGGGTTCCCCACCTAAAAAGGAGGATCCCAGGGTAAAATGCAAGGACTGCGGAGCCTTTGGGCACAAGGCAAGCAGCCTCAGGTGTCCCATGAAGCGTTGGGATGGGGCCCAACACCCCCAGGCCCTGGGCTCCAAGAAGATGAAGGAAAACCGGATACCAAGGGCCCCTAAGGACCTTCAAAAGCCAGGGACCATTAACATAGCTGCCAGAGAGGAGGAGCAGAGAGCAAGGTGTGAAGAACAGAGACAGGCTCTACTCCAGAGATTTCCCCAGAGACCCCCAGGGAGACCCCAGCAAACCTGGAAGGGACAGATGAAATCCTGTGACTATGTGAGGCATCCAAAGAGACCGATACCCATCCACATGGCCCAGAGGATATGTGTCCCAGACACAGCTCTCACCAGAAACTCACCTACCAGGAAAGCTGGCATGACATGCACAGCTTCTCTCATCAAAGGCGATGAGCGGAACACCTGCTCCCTTCCTGGACTAAACGGTGGACGGGGCGTGCCCGTCACTGGCACCCCTCACGCAACGTGCACACGCTTTGTCCAGGATCCTACCCACACTGTCCAGCAGAGGGACAACAGGCCTCGCTCTGTCGCCCTTGAAGATCCCCCGGCTTCCTCCAAGACACATGGCCTGGGCCATGCCCTCCTCCCTCAGGCACAAGCCAAGTACCCTGACCTGGACTCACAGCCTCTGACATCCTGCGGCCCAGAGTTCGGGCCAGGACCCAAAATCAGCCTCCAGGCACCTGGCAAGAGAGCTGATCGGACCTCCACCCAGACCTGCCAGAACCCCCAAAAGAAACCCAGACTCAGCCCCAGTCTTCCACCTGGACTGAGACCTGCAGTGGAAATGCAGGCTCCCACCATGACAACTGCCCAGGGACAGAGCATCGACCCCCAGCCTCCACACAAGGGAACTCTCCGCATGACCCTCCATGTTTACCAAGCACCCCCACACCCGGCGGTCCTCGGGTTCCCCACCCACCCCTCCGAATTGTTTTCACTCGAATAGAAGGCACTGGCCAGTGGAGCTCCAGGTTCATAACACCTCCCTCGCTCCCTCCTGCTGAGAAGCCGACTCCTGCTGGTCCAAGCCCTTTCACCTCCCAGAAGGCAGAGGGGCCCTGTGCCCCGGTCCTGGTGAGTGTCCTCCACGAGGACCTTCAGCTCTCCTCCTCCTCTGCAGAGAGTGACAGCCAGCCAGAAGCTGTGTCAGCGAAGACGTGTTCTCCAGCCCCGGGCTCTGGAGGGGGCTGCTGAACTCGAGAGGGGGTCACAGGACGGCTGTGTCGGGGGGACCGCACCTCCCCTGCTGTGCTGTGTGAGCAAATGGTGGGGACTCAGGTCATGCTTGCGGACACACATGCTATTATGGCACTTTTGATCAATGTAGGTGAAGTGATGTTTCAAATGACACTTTTCTATCAATTGAAATTTGTACTTACAGAACGTCTATGTGAAGCAGTTTTTAAAAGTTTAAATCCAGCCCTGGCCAGTGTTCTCAGTGGTTAGAGCCCGGGCCCATGCCTTGAAGGGATGTGGACACCATTCTCCATAAGGGCACATGCCTGAGCTGCAGGTTCGATCCCCACATCGGTGAGGTCTCGTGCAGGAGGGAACCAATTGGGGTCCTACTCATACTGATGTTCCTTTCTCTCTCTCTCTCTCTCTCTCTCTCTCTCTCTCTCTCTCTCTCTCTCTCTCCCGCTTCCTCCCTCCCTTCCACACTTTCTAAACATCAGGAAAAATTATCCTCGGATGAGGATTAACAAAACAATAAAATAAAAATCACATCCATGGTATAGGAAAATACAAAGTAGCAGCCTTTGTAAAGAGTAGCTAATGTAAATAGGCAGCCATGGAATGAATCCGTCAGCTGTGCTCCTGTGTGCTTTGGGGAACCTGGGGAAGGGCCCCCCGTGTGACCTGCAGATATTGAGCATTGTGGTCCTGAGGTGGGATTTCAGTGGAAACCAGGACAGAGAGGATTACCACGACTTTTACCTTCTGTTATGAAGTGTTATATTAAAGTTCTGTTTTACCATTTTTGTTGGCTATTAATAAAATTCTGAAAAATAAAAAAATATAGAGGGTCATGGGTTTGATTCCTGATCAAGGTCACATGCCTGGGCTGCAGGTTTGATCCTTCACCCTGGTGGGGGGGGGGGGGGGGGAGGCAACCAATCAATGTGTCTTTCTCACATCAATGTTTCTCTCTTTCTCTCTCTCTCTAAAAAAGATTAATAAAAAAAGATTGTTTTAAGCCAAGTCAATGGTTTATGTTATGCTTAAGAGACATGTCTATGTTTTAGCTTTGTAGTAACTCTTTATTCCCTTGCTGAGTTTAATTCATTGATAGAATAACAAACACGAATAGCTTAGGAATGCTTGAAATTGCTGAGCTGAATTTACAAAGGTGTTTGGGTGTGGAAAGCACGTGATTACACATTTTAATCTACTAGCCAGTCAGCAGGGTTAGAGAAAGTAAAGAAGTTGGTGAAAGTAGTGAATTGCCATCTTTTCATCGCTCATCTCCGGAAAGGCTCCTGCCGCACACATTTCAATGTGTTTAACGACTCACTGCGGTGAGAACCAGCTCCCGTTCAGAGGTGCTGCATCCGCTCCACTCCCGGGGCGCCGCCCAGACGTTGTCCAGGACTTCACTTCCTGGCCGATGAAGGTCACTCCTCACCAGCACAAAGTGCTCACTGCACATACCCCCTCTCGCACGGGCCATGGAATCGACTGCCCCAGAATACCTGTCTATGATTTAAACATTAGTAGAATTTTTATTTTTTATTTTTTGCAGTTATCTTCAGATAGAGTGGGGGGGGGGATAGAGAAAGGGAGAAACATTGATGTGAGACAGACACATCAACTGGTTGCCACCCACACAACCCCATCTGGGGCCAGGGACAAACTGCAACTGAGGTACGTGCCCTTAGCAGGAACTGAACCCAGGACTCTCTGGTCCACAGGCCGACACTCTAACTGCTGAGCCAAACTGGCCAGGGCTATTGTTGGAATTTTAAAGCCAGAGTGGACTTTAACTACTAGAGTGGCCTCTTTAGTTTTGAACAAGTAAAGCCTGATTTTATTTTATTTCTCATTCAACAAATATTAGTAGGTTCTTACGTGAGAGAAAACACAAACAAAACTAAAATCTGAATTTAAAATGAAAAATAAGAACAAGCATTCCTATTGCATCTTCATTAAAAGTCATTAATGTTTGACCATTTTGTATTGTTCACAGAATAGTCTAGGTTGTAAATTAGCTGAAGAATTCTGATGTCATATGTTGTGTTAAAGCAAGGTACAGAGAGAGACCATGTTAGTTATTATCACTTAGCTTTCTCTCATTCTCTTTCTTTCTTTCTTTCTTTCTTTCTTTCTTTCTTTCTTTCTTTCTTTCTTTCTTTCTTTCTTTCTTTCCTTCTTTCTCTCTCCCTCCCTCCCTCCCTCTCTTCCTCCTTCCTTCCTTCCTTCCTTCCTTCCTTCCTTCCTTCCTCCTTCCTTCCTCCTTCCTTCCTTTCCTTCTTTCCTTCTTTCTTTCTTTCTCTCCTCTTTTCCAGCAAACTATCAAACAATACACAAACATACATTAACACTGAGAGTTTGTGAAATTTAACGGTAATAAGACTCAATTATTAAAAACACCTAAAACTTTATGTGGTCCAAATGTATTAAAAATTTTAATGCCTCTGGCATCATTTTTTTGCTTCTAGGCAGATTTCACTCAGGATGACACACCTTGCCTGGAGGCCTGACTGCATCAGAGAAGTTAAACATCATGGGGGGGGGGGGCTCAGAAAGAGACTGAAATGCAATTTGAAGCAACATAACCTTGAACTTTATCATCAAGTACTCCAGATGGCTGGCTGCAACAGCAGGAAACCTCATACTCAAGTGTTTATGAGAAAAGTCTCAAAATGATGTAAGTAAAAATAAATCAGATTCAGTGTCTTCTTCCTTTTGGACTTTCCAAGGAATTTTTGCAAAATTAAAATTTTTGCAAAGCCATGGTAATTTTACCTTAACTCTCTTTATTTTTACTTAATTAGGATTTGTGATAGGCACAGTAATGGTTTCCCAAAGATGCCCACACCCCATTCCCCAGAAATTGTGAATATGTTATGTCACATGGCAGTGAGGAATCCAGGTTGTAGAAGAAGTTAAGGGGGTTAACCAGCTGGTCTTGAGATGGAGAGATTATTTAGGTGGGCCGAATGTAACCACCAGCGTTCTTATAAGTGAGCCAGGAAGGTAGGGAGGTCAGAGTCAGAGAGAAGATTGAAGAAGCCTCGCTGCCAACTCTGAAGATGGAGGAGGGGCCACAAGCCAAGGAATGCTGGGAAAGGCTAGGACCCTGAAGGAACCAGCCCCGGTGACATCTTGATTTCAGCCCAGTGAGACTCCTTTTGAACTCCTGACTCCCAGAGTTGTTGTGTTGTTTAAACCAAGTGTTGGGTAATTTGTTATAACAGGAATAGAAAACTAGTACATATTATTGAACACATATTGTGTGACCATCTCTGCATGATGGAGTGGGTACATACTGAGGTACAAGTTACAGTCCTTACCCTCAATAAGTTTAGTGAAGGATGAACTTGCGTTTATAAGATATCCCCTCTGCGTATCGTGTAGTGAGTCCTTTGGGGGAACTTCTATGATATTAAGAGTCCCTGACTTTTTTATGTTTTGCAGTCACAGTTTATAGTCAATACTATTTTGTATGAGCCCCCTGACTTTTGAGGGGCTACCTTAGGATGCTAAACTTACCAATATAAACTGAGAGACACAGACTTAGAAATGTATGTAGAATGTTTGAGTTGGAACGGCCAACGTCTCCCATCATCTCAGGACTAGGGACCTGCTGTGCAGATTACTGATGTTCTTTCTTCTACACCCAACTGCTAACTGAAGAAGGTAACAGTGGGAATGAATTCTTAAAAGTCCTATTTTCTGGAAGAAGGGTTTGTGAAGGAGAAAGTATAATTGTGGACTTAGGTGCCCCAGCACAGTCGGCGTTGGTGACAGGCGGTGGGTGTCATGGCACTGGCTCAGCACCCTGCCGGCGTCGGCTTCAGGCTCTCCTGCCATCTTCGCCGTGCGCTCAGCCTCTGGTGGTCTAGCGAAGGTCTGATGACGCCTTGCACTCAGGACTTTATAGCTGAGGCATAGCACATTCTATAAACCCTCCATGGGTATACACATTTTCTCACGTGGGGTGGCTAGAAACCAATCCCGAGCAAAGTCCATCACAGGATGGTCCGGCAAGGCGCACATCCACATCGTGCCCGAGGGGCTGAGATTGGAAGAGGAGCGCATTGCACATCCAGATCCTGACACAAGTGCAAGGGAGCACTGCCTTCCCCTCAGAGGGCCGCAATTCTCAGCAAGTATCTTTCCCTCTGGCACAGAGACCCAAGAATCATCCAAAAGCTTTCTGTCAGGTATTTGGGCACAGTATACAGATACGAGGAACCGTGGTGGCAGGTATTCCCCCATTATTAATGGGAACAGCTGGATTTTTAGGTGCTACTCTAACTTGACAATGACCAACATTTTAGACAGTGAGTTTTCCAGTTTAAGAGGGAATACACTTGCATTTTTGAGCACTTATAGAATACTACCTACGGTAGCAAGATTAATTACTCCAGCTTGAGATAGAAAATGACTATATTATAATGTGTGCTCCTATAAGACTACTACTTGGCAGCATGTAGGAAAATATGACATTTTCCTCTGAATAGAAATTACTATGAGATGACCATTTTACTTATGGGAAATGTACAAATACAAAATCAGTTATCAAAAGCGTTACTTTCACTCACTCAGTATATCTGTACAGTGGTAATTAGTATACCTCCTTTCTGTTTTAGAATGTAAATTTCCTATAGATAGTACCATGCAGTAGGTTGGAGTCCTTGAAGGTAGCATTATACAGTAATGAAACACAGAGAAATCAAGATTTAAATCTCTAACACTGTGTGCCCTTGGCAATCTGAACCT